TTGAGCTTATGCTGAAGAACAGAAACATGGGATTCCAGAGTTTCCTCTTAATTCACTGACAGATGGAGTCAAAGCAAAAAAGACCCATAAAAATTCAACTGGTAGTTTATATTTCAGGGACCTACTGAACTCTTGGGAAGTGGAATTATACCCACATAAACACATACAAGTACTTCTCCATCTAAAGTCTTGCAATTTCCATCAGCACCTTGCCTTCTGCATGAGCCTCACCTGCCTTTCTATCCTTTTAATTCCTCATCTTGCCGACTAAAAACTGAAAATAACACGTTACACTATTTAAAAAATGAGAATTCCCAGCTCTTTTTGTGAAGTATAAAGTAGCACTGTCCAACTGCTACTCACTGAAACATTCCAAGCTTAGTATTTTTTAACAGGGATTGTAAAAAGAAAATAATTAAAATAGCAAGAACAGAACTACTTTTGGGAAGCCCAGCTGCCCAGGGCACATACGACAACAGCTTCTACCCTCTGTTGATTGAGAGATATCATTTCTTAAAGCTCTTGTTGCCCCCCTGCCCCCTAATTACCTGTGGGGCTTTTTGTCACCAAATCAAGATTTAACATAACAAGCCCCAAACCCAGGCCCTGTTTAATTCCTGACACTGGATGTGCCTTCACTAATGTCGCTCCCACCTCTTCTTTGGCTCTTTCTTGCCCCCGAGGTAATTTTTCGTGACATTTTCATGAGATCCACTTCTAACCTTCCTCCCCCTTGAAAACATACACCGAAATATGAATGGCAGGCATGCAATCTGCGCGGAGACACAGCACAGAAACTTGCACCTTGCACTCCTTTTCTATGTAAATAATGCAAGGATCCTGCGGGAACATGCCAGGGATTGGAATTTTTAATTAATGGGTCTCTTTAATGTGCAAATCAGGAGCAGATTGCAAATTCTGACTCGCATTGATTATGAAAAACATTAATTGAACGTGCAAGACCCCAAACAGAGGCAACATCTCAAGCCCTGGACCAGACTGGGAGATAGGGTGTAAGAGAATACAAATGTATCTGGGTGAAACAGAGCACTCCAGGCAGCAGCACTCACACGTGTGCAGTGCATTAAACATTTCCACTGCATCCCGAGAGCAGCCACTGTGAGCTCAGCATTAAAAACCACTCAGACTTCCTCCATGTATGCAAAACGGGAATAAACATGAGCTCCACGACCAGAGTTTGGTCTTCAATTTGTATGTAAAAAGGGTGACAGGAAAAAAAAAAATCTGGAATATAATTAAAGATTTTTTTTTTTTAAAAAAAAAAAGGAAAGAAAAAGTAAGACAGTGCAAACAAAGCAATACTGTCTCTTTAAACAGAAATTCATCCTATATAAATTATGGCCATAAACTTTTCCTGCAGTGCAGCCTAATTAATTCTTGTTCTATACACAAAGGGAAATGCTGGGTGACAAATGGGTGTGAAGCCTGAAAGCTGCCAGGTCTGCAAAACATTTTCTACTTCAATTTATAAGCAATTTTGTAGTAAATCATCCACCAGAACCTGAGATCTCAGGAATCCAAGATTGTCCAAGGCACGTTGTATCATTTAAATGGAAAAAAAATCATAAAATATTACAAAAATAATAAATTAAACACTGGAGGTTTTGTAACCTCCAACCTCAAAATTTGAAAAACAAGCATGACCTTGCCATTTTCACTCAAATTTGACTTTAAAACTGCAGATGTACAGAACATTGCCGTCTACTCTTTAACATAATTATACTCCATCCCTTAGGGAATTTCTCTACCCCCTGGAGCTGCACAGAGGAGGTCACAAGTGGGAGATACCAAAGCAGCAAATATAGGAAGGATTGTTTTCCATTGCAAAAAAAAAAATTCATCCTTGCCATGAGCACACAGCAGAAGTTTTAGGAGCGATGGAAAGACTTGGGATAAACTATGGAAATCATTCTGGGGCAGCTTTCAAAGGAACATGAGGGACTCACCCAGGACCTCAGAGAGGTGCCCTCCTGCCCTACAGGGTACAACCCAGAGTCTGGATTTTTGGCACAAACAGCTTTGTGCAACTTGGAACACCAAGTCATTTCCCCCTGTTCAGTAAAGATGACAGCATGCCAAATTTATTTCATGGATTTGGAAAGAAGTGTTGAGGCTTCCCTGAAAGGAGAGTATCATCCTGTCCAAAATAGCATCAACACCACAATTATCCCAAACCCTGTTTAAGAGTGAAGCACACACCACGTCCAATGGAACCACCTCAACATTCAATAGCTACAAAGTCCTGTCTCCCACTCATCTTTCAACTTTCTCATGCACAATCTCTGTATTTTTTCCCCTATCTGGGGAATGGGATCCTACTCACAAGCTGGTAATACAACTGGGATGAGAACTCAAGAGTCCAGAAACATCTACCCACCACAGTACATCAGTATTTAGAATAAAGTAAAAAAGTTTATTTTTATAGAAGATACTAAACCACTTGATCAGCTAAAAATCAGAACTTATACTGGAAGCTGATTTATAATAAGTGAGGCATTTTTTTCTCCCTCATAAATCAAAGTGCATCAATTAATGAAAGAACTTTAAATATATTATGATGCATATTTTCAGAATGGATTTAGTTTCATCTGAATGGACAGGTCACAACCCTGCTGTCCAGGCAGAAGGTGTAACACAGCTCAGACTGCCCACGGGGTAAAGCTCCAGCTCTTGATTAGACATGAGCCCCTCTCCCAGGGCCCAACACAGCAAAGGGCAAGAGAAAGAGGTCTTTGCCACATAACATGGACTACATCCCTAGTCTTTCATGACATCTTCATGTATAAATTTACTCCTTTTTTTATGCTTGGCACTTTGTGACTTCTGGAAAGAGTATTTTTGGAGGGCAGTGAAAGATAGCTGCATTGTACAATAGTGCAGATGGCCAAAAATTACTTTTTATTGTAACCTACTTTACTGTTGTATTATTTTTTTTAAGAGAAATTAAAAAAGGAATATTAAATTTGGCCCCTTACAGAACACCTGAAAACACTAAAGAAGTGTAGTAGTACCAGAATGTTCCAAAATTCATTACTTCTACCTGCCAGTCTGAGCACTTCCCCTGCTAACTTTAACTTTGCCCAGGCCACTCCAGCTTTATTTTCTTGCTGTTTTCACAGATGAAATAGCCTGGATTCTTGTTCTGTATCGGGAACATCAGAGAATACTGCAACTTGCCTGCCCAGATTATGAAAAGAGTTGTGGGGAGGGAATCACTGAGCAGTTATTAACAGTGGATTTCCTTTAGCGTTCTGGACAAGGGGAAGATTAACCTCCCTGCTGTACTGGGTACAGTATTACACTCCACGTTCCTGGATGTATTTTGCTTATGGGAAATATCAAAATGTCAACCATTGTTTCTGTTAAAGGTCTTTAATGATATTGCATTTTAGACCTGTAATGAAACACAGTGCTCGGTGCAGTTTGTAATGCATCTCATTAAATACATTAATAACATGCATTTCACTAAAAGGTCAGCTTAGTATTGTTGGGAGTTCGCCTTTTTTTCCCTTAATCACTTCATTTAAAGCAGGAACCCTAACTTTAAAATAGAAAGTCCCTCACCTGCTGTAACTCCAGATAAGCTGATTAGCTGCCATGCTAGGGTCAGGTGTAAGCTGTAAGATGATAATGAGAATCTGGTGTGGGGGCAAGACTCAGGGTCAGGTTTGATGACCATGAAAGTTCCTAATCTGGGTTTAGGATGACTTGTGCCAGCCCAGGCCACAGTTTCTCAATGCACAGGTATCACGACACCCTGTACAGCCCAACACACAGTGTGCCTGAATGGATACAGCCACAGCAAACCAGGGGGTTCAGGTGGGGTCTCTAATATTTAGCATGAAAGGCTCCAGGCACCACTAGTGTTTCCCACCAACTGGTTCACCTCAGGGGGCTTCTCAGGATCCTCCACTTGGTGCTTACCTACAGAGCTGAAACCTTCTGGAAAGTGAGTGGTGTCTCAAGATTGGGAAAGAAGAAATAGAAGTGAAAGGGATAACCAACCTGGCAAGCTTTAAAACACTACTGGGTTTAACTTTATTATTCAAAAATCACTGGAAAAATATCCTCTAAGTTCATTAATTTCTGACTAGCAGAATTATTGGGCACAATGAACAATCTGTGTATAAACGTTCTCATCTGCAAGGTTGTTGTTTTCTGTCAAAAATCATACAGTAGTTTATATGTATTCCTGAGGACAGCATACCTGACATTTTATCTCCTTGTCCTTTTACCTTAACACCAGTAATAAAGGTGTTCAATTCTAAAAATTAAACAGATCCACACCACACTGAAGTTGAGTACTTTGCACTTATCTACTGTAGCACTTATCTACACATTATATTTGCCATATTGGAGAATCTACTACAAATCTCATCAGATGGATATCATTAATAGTGATCCTAAGAAATAAATAGATGAAGCAGCTCCAAGCTGAAAAGATATTTGCTCTTGGCTTAACAGCACAGGCTCCCTTTGGGCTACGCGACTCCTGGTTACAGCAAATCTTTGCTTTCACTGACCCAACACAAAATTGGTACCACAAGGTGTCTCTGGACAAAGAAGCATCTCAATTCTGCACCAAACAGCGATAACCAAACCTATTATTTCCAAGATCCAGCACAAAACTCAAATTTGATAAGCAAAATTCAATCCCCATGTAAACTAGAAACAGCAGCAGGACCCAAACTAAGGTTTACCAACATCAGGTAAGTGACAACAGGCCACCAGCAGAGATCAACTAGGCACATACAGATGTGGGTGACAGGAGACCTTTTCTTTGTCTGGATTAGGAAATACTTTTTGGTTTCTATTTGCACAGTACCCAATTAGTGATTAAGGCAATACAAACCAGCAGTTAATACTACAGACAGACACTGCTCAAAGCCCTCGCTGTCCCATTAACACTTCCCTGCACAGGCGAAACACACTGGCTACAGCAGAGACTACCCAAAGTATAAAGATTGAAAAATTCTTACAGTTCTGGACAGCGTTGTCAAATTCTTGTCCACCTTCCTTTCTGAAGATCGGGTAGGTATCTGGCTGCGGAAGCCGGTTGGCAGTCAGGAGCGCCTTCTGCATCTTGATTCTCCCTTCCAAGAGTTGATCCCACAGTGCTTCATGACAAAGAGAAAATAAAACAGTTATTCAGCAAGCCAAAGCACTTGCTCCTTGTGAAGGAGCTGTTGATTGAACAGTGCAGACCCTCTCCTTTGGGCTACATAACTCCTGGTTAGGGCAAATCTTTGCCTTCCCTGACCCAGCACAAAATTGGTACCACGGGGTGTCTCTGGACAGAGCAGCATCCCAGGCTATGAACCTGACTGGAACTCTGATTCACAAAGGAAAAAAATCATCCCTTTGTTTAAATGGAAATGCTGCAAATGGAGGTTGATAATTTAATAGGCCAGATTGAAAGAAACTGCACTTAGTATTACATTTTTAAATGAAACAGAAGCGATATCAGCATCGCTGCACAGCACCACCCACGTAGCAAGTGCCCATCCCCACCCACACTACAGGTACATTCAGCAGTGGTTCAATTAAGCCCGTGGATAAATGCACTTCATAACACGAGATTTTGTACCAGCAGGGACACCAGTTTGCACAGCAGATTTGGCACAACATTTGCAAATTACTTGGGCTGCTGCAGCGCTCACATGCAGGATGCTGACAGCATGTTAACGTGCTGAGGTGCTTCCTAACATGGCCAGTTTCTAGAGTGTCAGGATGGTGGAAGTCTCGTTAAAACACAAAGCAAACATGCACAAACCTAGCTGGTTCTTCACAGCTTTGCCTTTTTCTACTTCTTCAGTGTCTTGTCCTTTTGAGAAGGTCATCATCCCCCCATCATCTTCAATGTCTTTGGTTTCCTTTATATGGTTGTGGTTTTCACTCCCATATTCCTCTTCACTTCCTTCTTCCTCGTCACTGCCTTCCTCCTCATCACTGCCTTCCTCCATGCTGGCATCATCTTCATCTTCCCCCTCGCTGCTTCCAACGTCATCCATCCCCTCTGTAAATTTCTCAAAGTCTGTGATATTCTGGAAACTGAACTTTGGTGCCTTGGCATTGACAGATGGGTCTGTCTCTTCATCCTCATCCAAGTCATCCTCCTGGTCACTGCCAGCACTGCTGGGCGTCTCCTTTGGTTTACTGCCTATGCTGCCATTCTCTTCTGAGTCTTCACCACCACTGTACCATTCATCTAATCCTTCTTCAGCTAGTAATTAAAAAAGAAAAAAGTTATTTTCTTACCAGCAAAAACCATTCATCTAATCCTTCTTCAGCTAGTAAGTAAAAGAGAAAAAGTTATTTTCATACCAGCAAAGTGTGCCACTTTGCAATATGTATCATCAACAGCTACAGGTTTGGGCTATTTGAGCTCCAAACTCCGTTTTATCTGTGTATGATGTCACTTTCTGTTTGGCTGAATAATAGAAACACAACGACAAATCCACAAAAAGATCTCAGCTCACATTTACCACAGCAATGATCAGTAGATCCATGGCTTAGCTTTCTAATGAAACAATGACATGATAAGCAAACGAGGTGATCAGAATTTGCTACATGCATTTTTTAAATGAGAATCTGAATATACTTGCACTCCCCAAGATATATTGGCTTAAAAATGGGAGCCGATTCTTTTCCTCTGCACAATATTCAGCCAGTGTGCTGAGCCTCTTCCCTTAGACCAAGAAAATATGGCCTGAATTTCAGGAAGGCACTTCAGGAAGACATCCAACTTAATTGTACCTGTTTAGGTGCCCTGAACAGGGACCTAAAGTTTGTCACCTCAGCTCAGATAGCACTAGCTCAGTTAACATGCTAACATCATATTTTGTGTAGTCTAGCAAAAAGGGGAAAGAAATGAGATTTCTTACCAGACCCTTCTTCAGACAGAGCATCTCCCCAGAGTTCTTCTTGCAGAGCTTTGCGAGATGTAGCTTTTCCACTGTACCTTTTATCAGCTTCCAAGAGAGAGGCTGAAGCTTTTTTTCGTATATCACCAACAGGCAAGATGTCATCTTCAGTTTCATCCTCAAATTTGTCGATCACTTTAGCAACTGTAGCTGTGGGGGGAAAAAAAGGTGGGGAAAGGATGTCTAAACTGACCTGAGCCATGGAAAACTCCTCGTGCTCTACAAACAAAAATATACTGCAAAGGTGAACGGGATGGCAACACAGCCTCACGTAAGAGTCTGGTTTTTAGGCTTTGAGAGGGAGCCAGGCTCTTCCCTGCCTGGTGAAGGAAAGCCAGTCCACTAATTGTCTGCAAAGGGGGAAAGGTTGCTGGGGAAACAAAGGCAGAGAAAAAGCCTCAAAGCTGGGGTTTGTGTAGATCTGCACCAGTCCTGCCTAGAAACTACTGAGCAAAGTAATACTCAAGATCTAGCAGAAGAGATAGAACAGCTACAAGTTATTTTCCAGAACACATTCTGTGACATGTCTGTGGCCAGAGATGTTCTCCCACCTGCTGGGTTAACCTCTGCAGAAGGAAAGGAGATGCGCTAATTGTCTGCAAAGGGGGAAAGGTTGCTGGGGAAACAAAGGCAGAGAAAAAGCCCCAAAGCTGGGGTTTGTGTAGATCTGCACCAGTCCTGCCTAGAAACTACTGAGCAAAGTAATACTCAAGATCTAGCAGAAGAGATAGAACAGCTACAAGTTATTTTCCAGAACACATTCTGTGACATGTCTGTGGCCAGAGATGTTCTCCCACCTGCCAGGTTAACCTCTGCAGAGGGAAAGGAGATATTATGTGAACTGACTAAATCCAACCCCCCTCCCGTGCTCTGGACAGTTTGGTACCACAGGGCTCACCTGCAACACAAACGTTTATTAACATTTGCCGAAAATCCTGCTGATTTTTTTTTTTCAGAATTAACACTGCCTACTTTCAAATTTTTTTCCCTGTCTCTTCTTTATTTTAGAGCAAAACTAAGCCTACCCAAGCCTTTCCACAGATTCATTAAGGTCTCGGTAAGGTCACCATTAAGGTCACCTGGTATTCCTCCAGGTGGAGGACTCACTAAGGCTGGAATGCCCTCACTCACTTCACACTTACAGATTAAATGAGGAAAAATGGATTCAGCTGCACTTTGGCCTCTTGCTGTATATATAAACCACATAAATAGGTAAACATTTGAGAATGGCTAAACAGAGAAAATAATTTCACTGTGGTTATTACCCTCTTTCATACTCATCTTCTCCAGGGCACAGGAGATGAGCAGTCCAGCAAAGAGAACACATCAGACCATACCCCCTCCTTATTTTCATTCATGTGCAAGACACCCTGTACGCAAAATTACAGGGTTAGCTTTGTTCAACCAATTGAGTGATCCAACCAGCTGAGCATCACTAAGTGCTCTTTTAATGTGTGTTTGGAAATGTTAATGCCTCACATATAGTGTTTACTTGAGGCAGGGGGGAAGCAAAAAATAATAATCTCCTGCTCATAATCAAAGATCTGGTCTAAATGTAGTCACTGCAGCTACAAGAGGATGGCAAGATGCTTGGCACCAAGGAATGACAAGGCAAGAAGAGCTGATGCAGAATGACTAGTGGCACTCAACAGATCTTCTGGCATTCTCAGTCCTGGCACTGCTAAAGCACGAAATCTGAAACTCAATTATGATTACTAGAATGGCAAAACGCCTTTGCTGACTCCATTAATTTTCCTCAATGGCTGCTGAAATGTTGCTAACAAGATACTATTGCTCTCACACACCTGTACTGAAGAACCAGGCCAGCTGGCACAACGTTTAGCCTGATTGGAGCCTAAAGCCAACCACTGCCTGTGTGTGAGTGAGGCTGCAGGGGCCCTGCCCCACAGCTCAGCTGGTGCTGCTGGTCCATGGGAAGACTCTGCTCTGGAGAAGATAACTCAAGGAAATGGCAGACACCAGCCTGGAAACTTAGAAGATGACACAGCCACCTACCCATCACAGGGAAAGGGACCAATACCTCAAAATTCTTAACTAAGGCAAGAAGAGCTTGATTAAAAAGGTAAATTGATTATTAGTCACTGGAAAGCATCAAACAAGGCAGGTGCAGCACTCGGCCTGCTCCAAGCACCTGGTGGGACAGAATGGGGAGTCACCAGCGACCACATCCACCCAGCCTCCCCCTGCTCCCACGGCCACACCGGCCGGGCCTCACGGGCAGAGGGGACCGTCCTGCCCCGACGCTGCGATTTTACGACCCTTTTCCTGGAGATTTCCAGCCGGATCCGCTCCCCAGACCGGCTCCTGGCACGGCACGGCCTGCACCGGGGCAGCCCTGAGGTAAGACCCATCCCTGAGGTAATTCTGACCCCTGAGGTAACCCAGGTCCTTGGGCCAGCGCCGGCCCCTTGGCAGCCCTGAGATAGGCCCGATTCGATCCCCGAGGCAGCCCCAGCCCCTCACGCTGCCCCGAGGCGGCCCCGGTCCCTGCGGTAACTCCCATCCCACCGACAGCCCCGGTCGCCACCTGCCCGGGCCCGGTGCGGCGGGTGGCGGCGGGCCGAGAACCGCTCGCTATGGGCCCGCATGGGGCTGGGGGCACAGCGGACCTCCGCCCGCGGCTGCGGGAGACGGAGAAGCCCAGCGGGACTGAGGGAACCCCATCCCCGCACCGGGCCCGGGCCCCCCAACCGCGGCGGCGGCACCACGTGCGGCCGGTCTGGCGGCACCCCGGCCCACTGCGGCCCGCCCCCGCCGGCCGCGGGCATTCAGCCTTCCTCCCGGCCCTCCCTCACCTTCCTCCGCGTCGTCCTCGGGGTCGCGCAAGCTGGGCCGGGGGTTCCCCACAGCTCAGCTGGTGCTGCTGGTCCATGGGAAGACTCTGCTCTGGAGAAGATAACTCAAGGAAATGGCAGACACCAGCCTGGAAACTTAGAAGATGACACAGCCACCTACCCATCACAGGGAAAGGGACCAATACCTCAAAATTCTTAACTAAGGCAAGAAGAGCTTGATTAAAAAGGTAAATTGATTATTAGTCACTGGAAAGCATCAAACAAGGCAGGTGCAGCACTCGGCCTGCTCCAAGCACCTGGTGGGACAGAATGGGGAGTCACCAGCGACCACATCCACCCAGCCTCCCCCTGCTCCCACGGCCACACCGGCCGGGCCTCACGGGCAGAGGGGACCGTCCTGCCCCGACGCTGCGATTTTACGACCCTTTTCCTGGAGATTTCCAGCCGGATCCGCTCCCCAGACCGGCTCCTGGCACGGCACGGCCTGCACCGGGGCAAGCGCGGAGGGGGCGTGGTCGGAGACGGGGCGTGGTCTGTGGGCGTGGCCGGCGCCCCGGGCCGGTGCAGCGCGGGAATGGGCCGTGCGGGGTCCTAGCGCCCGCCGGCTGGGAAACCGGGGGCCACCGGGACCGGGAACGGGCAGGGGAAAGCGGGCCGGAGCCGGGGAGAGCGGCCACCGCGGGGCGGGAGGGGCCGGTCCAGACGGTCCCGGGGTTTCGGAGTGTCCGCCCATTGTCTGACGGGCGCCTGGGCTGAGATGCGGCGGGTGCGCAGGCAGGAATAACGGTGATAAATAGAAATATCCACAGCCACCCCCCGGGGAGAGCTGCCTGGCCCGGTCCCGCCGTCGATAAGGGGCGAATGATGGTAATTAGATACGTGGGGGTCGTGAGAATTGGCGTTTGGCAAGTGCTCTGCCTCTGAGCAGCACTGGAGTAACAGCCGAATAAAAGCAAAGTCACGTCATGTGATGCAAAAATGCTACAACTATTTATTTTTTTTTTAAGTCAAAATCACACTTTTTCTTAGCGCCTCTGCCTGCGCAGAACGGGATTAATTATTTTCTTGTCCCATACGTTTTGTGGCCCCCGTGGGGTCCCTCTTCCAGCAGCGAGAGCTTGAAGGTGGGTCCTGTGGTTGGACCTGGCCTGGCCGTTGGGCACAGATGGGTCCTTCCACCCCGTGTACACCCCATGGGGCCTTCCACCCCATGTGGACCCCATGGGTCCTTACACCCCATGTACACCCCATGGGTCCTTAAACCCCGTGTACACCCCATGGGTCCTTCCACCAGCGTCACACCAACCTCCGTGAGCCCCTACCAGCACTTTGGGGCGCTTTGGCCAAGCTCTGGCCAAGAGGCAGCCCCCAAGGGATGTGGCAAGGACCTGCTGGGAGCATTGACAAGGATGGCCTCTCTTGGGTTTGCCCCCCGACTGCTTCTCCTTGGATGAGGTGGCCCCAAAACACCAGGTGAGACCCGGAGCTGGGGAGCAGCAATAGAGGCGGGTGCGTATTTTGTTACAAGGGACCCCAATCAGCATCTCGACCCCGAGCTGCAGATGGAGGTCTGACCTCCAGACCCCACCACGAGCAGCTCCAAGGGCTTAGCCCAGACCCCAGCATTTGGGCTTTCCCCAACCGACGCTGAGCCTCTGCCCCCCAACCGGGGCCGGGTACCCCCCCAGTGAGCCCTGGGCTGCTTGTTCATCCCCATCTTGTCAGCAGCCCCTTCCCCACTCCTGATTTGTTTTGAAATGCCATAAAAAGGGATGCAGAGAGGGTTCCTCAGGCGGGCGCAGCGAGGTGCTCCAGCGTTCAGTGCAGGCGCTTCTCCTACAGAGGGCAGAGGAATATCATTAATTACCATCGCCGCCAGCAGCCCCTCGCTGCCACCCCCCCACCAGCTTGGGATGGGGGCTCGGGGGCCCGAGAGGCACCCAGGGAGGGGGAAAAAAAAAAACCCCAACATCTCCCCCCCTTCTCACACGCCCCACGACTCTCCCTGTGAAACTCCGTGATTTTGAGCACCGCGGATACAATAAACAGTTCAATTCACATAAGAAACTAATGTTTACTAAAAATGCACATTGTCATTGCAAGCAAACCCCTTGGATTTTATGTTGTCGAGTATTTCAGTCCTATTTCAACTTTATTTTGTAGTTTGTATTTATTTTATCCTGACGTGATTGACAGCTATAATGCTCTGCATTCCATATTATTCCAATTTGCCATTGCTCCAGCAATGGGAAAATAAGCACTGCTATCTTTTTATTTTTTTTTTAATTACTATTCTTTTCACCAAGACATGGTTTTACAAAACAGGAAATTTATAAAACAGGAGATGTACACAGTGTGTCTTCTCTGGCTCTGCTTCTAGGTTTTTTTTTTTCTTTGAGTTTGTAGGTATTTTGTTTCCAGAGTGAAAGATGGGATTATAAACAAAGGGAGGAGCCTGGAGAAATAAATCTATAGAAAATTAAGTAGCAGAAACAAGTGCTCACCCGAACAGTTACGTGGCAGTAACTAACCACTCGCCTCACCAAAGAATTCGTGCATAATTGCATTTTCAAACCTTGCAGAGTGAAAAAGGGACGTTCTCTACCCTGACCTAACAGGTAATAAATAGCGCTGTTAATAAAGGCAGAGAGGCGCTTAGTGATGGGGAAATAAAACACACCCAATATAATTCATATAAAAACACAGTGAGTTGCATCAGTCCTTTTGAGTCAAAAATGAGCTTCTTAAAGTTGCCAGCATTTTTGTCACTCACGCCGGTGAGGTCAGGATTTCACCCCCTGAGCCTAACGAGCAATCCTGTGGTATAAATCCCCACCTCAGCAATGCACTAAAATTCACATATGTACAACTGTAACCTGGGGGGGCTCTGGCAGGGCCCACAGACCCACTTCTTTCCTGTCCTGCATCCACGGCTTACACCCTTGGGTGCACCAGGAGAAGGGGGGGACCCCACGCTGGGACGTGCTCCGGTGTCCCCGCTCCGCTGACCCGCAGGAGCTGCTAATTCAGAATTTTTTATAAAGAGATTCAGTCAATATAAACTCACATCAAACAGAAAAGGCAGCGTCTGACAGTCACGGGTTGTTAAAATATTTCACCAACAAGAGAGACTCCTTCCTCGCTGTTTATTCTCCCTCTTTTGCCTTTCACTTAGCAAGGTAATTAAATCAGACTCTCAGGCTCGGTTTTAATTTCTGGTTCACATGCCCTCAAACCATGCTGCCGTGGATTGGACTCATAATCATGCGGGGGAATATTTGTACAAAAATTATATCAATACATTTTAATTTAAGACGATCATGAAAGCCTTTTTATGCATCACGGTACGTTCTGTAAAACCCTCTGCCTGTTTATAAACTATAAGCAGAAGCCATCAAACTAACTGACATAATTTCTTTGGCGTTTTTCCTCTTAATTTTACTTTTTATTTACATGCTTATTTGCTAAAATGGAAATAACACCCTAAACACAGAACAGATAAACAAGTGCATTTTGAACAGCCTGTACTACAAGAAAGCACTTTTAATTTCTCACCCTCGGCTCCTTTTGCTCCTGTGTCTTTGTGGAGCTTGTCATCTTTTAGGAAATTGTCAGATTAGATGGTAGCTTTGGCAGGGAAAGACCGTATCATCCTTGTGTGTCTGTATAATTACAGGTTATTAATACAAATCCATTTTTCAGAGCGTTTCTTTACTTAAATATATAAATAAAGAAACGTGCTGGAAATGTAAAGCCGTTGAGATGCCACCACCAGCCTGAGCATCCTTCTGCCGTCACCATCACTCAGCCTCGGGTCCCACCTCGGGGAGCGGGGTGGTGGGACCAGGGGGGTGGGGGGGATTTCATTTTAAAATTTTTTTTTTTTTTTCTCTTTAAATCAGCAACGCAATTTGTCAGTGAAAAAAAGAGAAAAAAAAAAAAGAGGGGGAAAAAAAAATAATGAGAAAAAAAAAAGAAAGCACTCGTAAAACCTGTCCACTAAAACAAATTACATAACAGGAAATTTAGATTATGTACACACCTTATAAATATTTATTACTATTTTCCTTCCGTGTTTTTATTTACTTGAGTATTTCTGATATTCCTAACCCGTCGC